CTGTAGTTGGCATCTTTGAGCTTCCTGCAACATGCTGTTCCTCGTTTGAGATGAAAAGAGCTTGTTTATCAACACGAAGATGACAGGACGTGCAAATGCGAAAACCAGTATTCAATCCTGATGCTTCAGAATATCCAATCGATTTTAATTTCTGGATGGTAATATTCGAAATATTCCTCAGCTCTCTCGAGCACTTGACTTCCTCGAACGGCCGAATGCTCGTTCACTCATGTTGCTTCCTGTATTAAAAAAGTTAAAAATAATAATCTTTAAAAATGATTTCATTGAAATACAACTGAAGGTTATGCTTACCTTTTAACCAAATGGTGTTACACTTATTTCCGAGGGGGGCGACACATCTAAATCTCAAGTTTAGATGCTCAACAAATCTCACACTAGCGAATCAATCTTCGAAAAATCTTCTTTAATTTGTCGCATCTACTTGCATCGCGCATCATCTTTTTGCAGGAAATCTTCAGAATTGTCATCAATCTTCTTTCTATATACTCAGCGTGCGCGCAGCTAGCCACAGCAAAACACAATTTTTTCTGCATCGTAGATAGAGTCATCCCCCTCGCTTATTTCCTATGATAACTTTTTAAGATGTATGCGGTAAAAAGCAATCTTTGTGATCAACTGCTTGTTTTCACCATTCAAACTCATTTAAGTATCAGATCGATAGGTATAATTTCTACATTAGGTACAGACAGATGTTTTTGGTGTTCACTACTACAGTGTTGAGTATTTGACTTATTACCGTTAAGATCACTGATACAACTATGCAAAATTGAAGACAATGAATAAAAAAGAAAATTAATCCCTAGTTTGAGCATCATTTCACTTTTATTTAGTTCTAGCTCAATATTCATCAAATGAATTTTTTAGTTTTGTTAGTAACGATACCTTTTCAATGTATCAGATGTAATGAATCCTAACTTTTCTATAGGGCCTGTGTAGAAAAACACTAATGAAATAAACATATCTATATTGCAAAAACGGCTTGCTTGATTGCATTGGTGTCTTCGAGACAGTTGTGCAAAATTAAAATGCAATTCTTGAAAAAATATACATGGTTGAAAAACATGTGTTTTTAATGTAAATGTAAAAATCGTAAAATTTTCAAAAAATCATAACTTTTTTGTTTTTGAGTTTACCATCACCAAACTTTGCCAGTTTGTAGCAAATATTATGAGCTTCGATGAGGCTATAAACGAAAATTTTCAAAAATGTACTTTTTGAAAAATCAATTTTTTTAATAAGAAATATATTTTTTTTATTGAAACAAACGAATTTTTTTACAGTGTATATTTTTAACATTATTGCCAAAATAATATCTACAACTTTGCTCAACACACCAAATTAATCGAACAAAGCGTTTCAGCAATATAAATTTTTTAACTCATTAGTACTATTTTTACACAGGCCCTGTTAGAAAAGTAGTCGTGATTCAATTTGAAGAACTGATAACACAAATTGGCATCTTTACTAAAAAAGAACAACGATTTTCATCAAAATCGGAGCGGACAAATTAAAAAAAAAATTAAAAAATTCGTCAATCTGTAGAGAATTGCTCAATTGTGAATGATTTGACGCTCCGTTTCAATGTTCCATTCGAAATTGGATTGTTCAAACCTTGTAGTCGTTACCAATTCAATTCATCTTCTCGTTATACTTCTGTAAAATGCATCAAACTAGCCTTCATAATTCATTTTTGATACTTGGAAATGATCTAGTCTAGCTGATTGAAACCAACATGGAACATATAAGCAATCTGTTAATTTTACCATTTATTCAGCAGGCCGCTGCCATAGTGGGAGCGAGGAGACACGCTTAGCGTTCTATACAAAAGAATTCCTATTATTGATATTATTCCTAACATTCGATTTCACGATTCGCGTGCCTCTTCGCTATGGTAGCGGCCTAAACAAATCAAGCGTAACTATTCAAATCGACGTATCTGCTTTTGTAAACAATCTCTTCATTCGAATATTTGTCTTAACTGCTAACTCACCCACGCAAACAAACACCATTAACAGGTGGGGGAAACTTTCGCCTACTAGCTGGTGTTGTTAGTTTCTGTGAGTGAGTTTGCAGTTGCCAAAAATCGTCGATTGAAGAGATTGTTTACAAATTCAGATACGTCGACTTGAATAGTTATGCTTGAAATACCTAAACTCCCATAGAACCAGAACGTCAAAATCGAACACATGTTGGATTCAATTTGTGTGGCTGTGTTCCATTTGGTGAATTTTAACTTAAATTTTAGATAGAAAATTTTCAAATAAACTTGCCATTGTACCAGAATTATTTTTCACAGACCAAGAATCAATTTTGACAAACACCTTGAATCACACGATCGACAACAGAGAGATTTTTGAACATTATGAAATCAGAAAAAAATTATGAATTTTCACTGACACTTCGAAGATAAATTATGATGTTCGAACACCATTATGTGGTTGATCGTCCGATTTTCGAGAAATTGTTTGTCAAAATTGATTCCTGGTTTGTCGGAAATAAGTCTGGTAGAATAGCAGATTTATTTGAAAATTTTCCATCTGTCAAATATAAGTTAAAATTTACCAAATGGACCACAGCCTAAATGTAGGGGGGTTGGCAGCTGTAGTATACCCCAAGTCCCACCATCGAATGGCATTTGCTAGATAAGATGAGGTTGCGACATAATTAAACAAATAAGCTCTGCAAATAACGCTCTTTGAAAACAATTTTATAAATATGTTACTGGAAAAAATGCAAAGGATTTAAAAAGAGGACAATTTTCGGGCAAAAGAAGGATGTATTTAAATTTCTGGCAAAAGAAGGATGTATTTAAAAAGAAGGACATAGGTATCTAGACCAACAATTGAAATAGGCGGAACAACCAAACGTAAACAATGGCTTTAAACGCAAATTCATCAAGAATCAAAGCACATCCAAGCAACCTAACACCATCATCTGATAGAGCAAACTTCTTTTATCGAATTGCATTGTTAGTTTACGTGGGAGTGTTTTGATTCTCGAGAATGTTGTGTTTAAAGCCATTGTTTACGTTTGGTTGTTCCGCCTATTTCAATTGTTGGTCTAGATATCCTCCTTTAGGATACTCATATGTAGTGACTAACTTGACTTAAAATGATCTTTATTTCTTGTATTTATGTGGTTCACATGTATGACTTACCAAGTGACAAAGATGCGTCTTTTTAGCTTTAGTTCTTATGAAATTGCAGTTATTATTAATTACAGTTCCTGGTCCTATCAGGCCTGTTTAGAGAATGACCACCTGGGATGGGGATTGGTTTGTGTCTCATATGTAGTAGGTCCATTTTATGCTTTATATGCTTGTAGCAAAATACTCGGTAAAATAATGCTTCAACAGCGCTCAAACCTATGCTCTGGAGAGTGGGCTCTGCAGTGAAGTTTCTCGAGAGGCAAACCCTCGAGAGCTTTTAGGTGACACAATTATACTAATGCAAAAATGGTACAGGCATCGAAAGCTCTCAATTAATAACTGTGGAATTATATGGCAAGTCGAAATAAAGCATTTTTTGTATGAACGTATTTATGAAAATTTTGTACGCGAAATTAGGCCCCTGGTATTAAGTTTAATCATGGTCTACTGGTCATTTGGACCAGTAGAACCAAAGTTACAAGTGATCTTTAAAATTCTTCCATAGGAATTTCCATACAAATTTCAAAACCTTCATCAATCTTTACCATTTTTTGCACAGGCTTATATTTTGGGATTATGCATTGAACTGGAGGGTGGTCTATAAGAAATTTAAAACTTTTTTCAAAATGAAGCACCCTACACGTACACTTAGTACGGGGGTGAAGTTTACCAGACCTCAAGGTCTTGTGGAATTAGTAGTAAGCACGACTTTCGGCAGCAATGCGTCTCCGAATTTCTCTGCCGCAGTTGTTTTACGGCGGCACCAATGTTCCGAGGAAAACAACTTCATCCTCCATCTCGCTCGACCTCATCTCCGTCGATTATCACACTTCTGCCTATGCGAGGTCTATCGCGCTCGGCTCCTCCAGCCAACAGATACTTAGTCTTCGACGTATTCACCTTCAATCCAACCTTTTCTGCTTCACGTTTCAGTCTGGTGCACTGCTCAGCAACCGCCTGGAACCTTATTTCTATACTTTCCACGTCGTCAGCGAAACAGATGAACCGACTGGATTTATTGTACATCGTGCCTTGCATGTTAAAGTCCGCATATTGTATTGAGGCTCATAGTGTGGCTTCTAAACACAAATGGATTAGATTTTTTTACGATTCCTGAATTCGGGATAGCTATGCTTTTCAATTTATTGTCCTTAATCCTTATACTTTTTTCAAGCCGTGTATATGAGAGATAGGGTTCAACAACATTATGGCAAGTCGAAATGAAGCATTTTTTGTATGAACGTTTGTATGAAAATTTTGGTCGCGAAAGTAGGCCCCTGGTATTTGAAAATAAGTTTAATCATGGAGTTTTCAGTAGCAACAGTCAATATCAATTAAAAGTATACTACGGTGGCGGTGTTCGATATGAATTGGAAATCAACAAGTCAATTACTATTTTTAATTGATATCTGTATATCAGATAAGCGGATGTTTGTTTTAAATTTCAATAATTAAATATTGATAGAAGACACGTTTCCTAATTTGTGTTGGTGTTTTTTCACTGATAATACGATTGCGTTCTTCGCTATCTGTCGGGATTTGATCAACTCGTTTTCCGTGGTATCATGGTGTTGGATCAGATTTTTTTACAATATGTTACGCTTAGGAAAACAACCTAAAATCATGTGTTTCAATGTAATTCCGAAAGAATGTGCTCAATACAGTACTGCACGTTTTCCAAGAGGATATTTAATGAGCATCCCTACAACGTATTATTGATTCCAATCAACGATGTATCAAATGTCACAACAAGACAACACCCCCACCAAACTGGATATGTTTACTACAAGGCAATATTTCGACTTACAAATGACACCATAATGCTGCAAAAGATTTGTCGATTACATATGTTATTTCATTATCAAAATATTATTATTATTCCAAACTTTACATACTATAAGCTCTTGCACAAGCAATTTGGCAGCAAAAGGCTATTAACACAAACTAAACATATCACTTATATTTCCTCCGTACACATCCACACTTGTGTATAGCGTGAAATAAATTGGCTCCAATTTGTTTACGGCATTTAACTCTGTGCTCCTGCTGAAACCGCGGTCATGGTATTTTACTGGCTTATCATTCGTCCAAACTCTACAAATACAAAATAACCCTTACAGTTTCACTTATATACGCATCGCGATGACGCAATGAGGCATCGATACTCACTTGTTAGCGTATTCATTATTAGGAAAACACCTTTGGTGATAATGTAGATCGTGGCCGCCGGTAGCTTCACTAAGAGGGTCAGCTGATCGATCATTGATCTGGCTGGACGGGTAACTACTTCCAGTACTGCCATCTTTTCGAGGATAAGCAGTAGAACACTAATACACAAAACTACTATCTCCCTGCAGAGGCGGGATTGAGCTTGAACTTGAACGATTCGAGGCAGATGTAGCTGCCTAACTATGTCATATTTTGCTTTGGGCTGCAGTGTTATTCAGACACTGGATAAAATAAGGTGAAGAACGCGAATGGTGATTGGCCTTGCCCGCAAAATGGTGATAAGCGCTAATGCGGGAGTGGAGCTTCGGTTGGAAGCTTATATCAAACTGAACTGTAATCTTGCTTTTCCGTGTTTCCAATATCGGCTCCAGTTGAAACGTTTTGCGTTGCGAAAAAAGGATTTATGGCCCACGGTTGAGCTATAAGGCGTTTTCGTGTATATGTAATCAGGGCTTATGATTAGTCTGACAAGGAGATAAACTCGTCGAAGCTGAATGAGCTAATAGGCAAAATGCTCATTGATGTGGCGGTGGTACGGCATCCAACAGTCAGTTAAAAATGTTTGTCCATGTCGTGTGGCGAAAAGCTACATATATTTTTGACTGCTCCACCCAGTGAGCACCTTGCCCTCTAGAATGCTAACACATGGGAACATTTTGAGTGTAATTTCAAAGTGATAATGCTTACGAGTGATTTTCGTAAATATTTTGCAAACTTAAGGCCCAAGCGCAATGACAGCGGAAGCGGAACGGCAACGGCAGCGGAAAAGCCCGATCTGAGTAAGCCAACTTGTCGGATTGAAAACTTGTTGGAACCAAATCGTCTTCGGTTAGGCATCTTGATGTCATTTGGGACAACTGTCAAACTTGCCGTTTCCGTTCCGCTTCCGTCCACATTGCGTTTGGGCCTTTACAATTTGTGCAAAACCCCTGGGGTACAATGGCCACTTAAAACACCGATAACTTTTCCTCAGATGCTTTTTTTCGGGCAAAGGAGTATGCTTGTTTTCATCTCGAGGTTTCACAAATAATTCCTGATCATGAAATCACATACTGTCCAAAAAATTATCCAGTCCGGTAATAGCCTGATAAGGGCCTTTTTTTGCAATATATGGCTTTAATTGTTTATATCAGCCTCATATCAGCATTATGTTACACTTTTTGCATTAGTGGGTTTGATGATGGGTGATTCGTTTAAAAATTGTACAACATGACACAATTGTTAAAATCATCGGCTTCGAATTAAGCTTTTAACAGCATATATGATGTATTGATATTGATGATATTGAGCTGGACGATTTATCTTTAAGACAATTAAGTATAACATTTAACCAGATTAGCAAACAAAAACGAATTGGTTACAGTCACAGATATAAATTCCCTCAACAGTTTTCAGTTGCTTCACAGCGATATAAATGTGTGAAAGCTTAGGCGTTCACCTCATTGTTCACCTTTTTGTCCACCTCAAATATTCACAAGCATTCCCAGCGATCAAGAGTTGATGAATAATCAACAAAGCATTCTAATATACAACACGCAACCCAAAATTTATTAAATTCAATGTTAGTTGCATTTCCTATCATCCTCCGCAGCGAATACTGCAGAGAATGTGAGTTGGCTCTATGCAGACGATGCAGTGAATTTTTATCTTTTTTATTTTGTGTTCTGTCTACGCTTTCGACTAGGTATACCACCAAGCTTGTTATGTATAACATTGTAGAATGACGCACACACTTGCTTCGATTCTCTCCAATTTCCATTCAGTAGAAAAGGCATTCGAAATCAAATTATCGTACTATGTGTGGTTCTTATTCGCTGTCTCCGAAGCATGGAGAGAGCAGTGGAGAAAGCACAGGTCTTATAATCGCAACGTTCGTGGTTCGAGTCCAGTCAGCACCCTTTTTATTTTATTTTTTCGTCATAATTAATTTCTTTCATTTATGCACTCCACATTTTTCGAACGCCAATTTTCTTGCATGTGGTCTCCACTAACATCCTGCGATGATGGATCCCACATAATTGTAAGCAAATCTTAGATTTCCGGTTGGGTGTAGCAACTCCGCAATCTGATGCTATCGTATTTTTCAGCATCGTCAGGAAAGCTCACGAACCCCCGACATTCAACCAGAAAACTTACTATTAATTCATGGCATCTTCCGAATAAGCTTCAATGCTCCATTTTTTATGTTTTCAGTCCTCTATAACCGTAATACGCGTGCGAGAACCTTTGTAGCCTACTCAAAATTATTTCTTTTTTATAACTACTACTATAAAATCAAATATTACAAATCCATCATCACCATCGTGGCGAACACAATAGTTTTTGCCAGTGCTACAATAATCATTAAGAAGTCGTTATGACAGCCCAACAAACAATTCAAAGTCACAAATAAGCACACATTGAATAAATGCTGTTTAACAGTGTACAATGCTGAATAAAACAGGATGTCGAATTATGTGCTGAAAAAAGCTCCATGAGATCGATAGATGCACCTTTATTCCGCCGTTTGCTCTGGTATGATTAATTACCTTATTAAAAGCTTTTTAAACGTTGATTGTCAGATTGATTATTCAGAACCAGAAGTTTGATCTAATAACAAACTGAATAAGTGTAATTTGTACATACATTGACACTTTAATTCGACTGTTTTCAATTGATTTAATAAGATTCTTTATTAGACGTCTAATAAATGTACTCCAGCTCCATTATTATATTTCATTGCATTACTTTACAATATTGCTGAATAAAGGTGAATACAGTCAGCATAATAGCTCTTATACCACTATGCGCCCATGTTGTAATCACATGATTTGTAAATGCTTTATCAACGACGTATTAGATTCATTATTCGACAACACTGATTCAGTCTAACAAGAAGGCGAAATCAGTAGAGTAGTGGTTACCGTTTCCGCTTTCCAATTAGAAGGTCGTGAGTTCAATCCCAAGCTCAACCATTTTTTTTATTTGTGTTCTACGTCTTATTAATTTAAATAGTAATCATCGATCACATGACTCACGATAATGAATGCATTGATCTAGTTTAAAATATAACCGAGTATCCTTTCTTTCGACTTGGAGATGTGAAGAGGCAACATTGGTCTCATTTAAAGCAACAATGAATGAATTAATCATTCCCACAGGGCCTTGAAGGAGCTAGAGTTGCGATCGGGAGTGCTGCAAGCTTTTATTGATTATTGAGTTGCCCATATGATGAATTCTAGGATAGCTCAGATGACAAGGCAAGCGGCTGGTGTCCGGAAGGTACATGGTTCGAATCCCCTACAAAGACAAGTATAAGTATTTAATAAATTTTCTAATATCTGTATGGTGCGAGCCACGTCAGAAATAATGAAATACAATACACTTAAGAACACAACCTTCCCTGTCCCTGTCCCTCTTATTTTCGGGTTAATTTTCCCACAGTTGAATAATCGTTTAATAAATGTTTAATAATGTCTAATTAAACGTTATTTCACATGAGAATCAAGCGTATACAGAGCATCAATGTTTTAAGGAAGCAGTGATGTCTAATAAACGGTGAATAATCAAAAATTGTATCGTATAAACTCTGTTACAACTTATAAGTCGAATAAAAGCTTCTTTACATACCTTATACAACACCAAGTAGTTCAATGTTGTGGTTGAATATATTTTCCAGATTTGTGTGAACAAAGCCTGAACAGAAGTTATTATTAAAAATAGTAAAAGTACTGTTAAGCATGCAGTTGAATAAGGATACCCACGTTTAGAGGGTGTAGGGTAAACCAATATTGAATACTTTTCGAATTGTCGAACTGCAGTAGACTTTTTGCATATCATAATTTTTGAGAAACGTGCAGGTCGAGTTTCGAACGCCTTTGGATACGGTTGTGTATTAAGTGTGTTCTCTGTTTTGTGCGTGCATTCGCTTTCATAGTTTTCGGCTGCATTTGCCGGATTAGCGCTGGCACTCTGCCTCCCGGACGGTTATACGTGTGTGAGTGGTGGTTTTCTCGCTTTCCGAGAAGTTTTAGAATCGAGAAAGAAAACATGATTCATCATGTTTGCAAGCAACAGAAGATTTAACGCTATCTGCGTTGTTTGATTTTTTTCTCCCGGTCCAGAAATTTGTGGCATCGCGAGTGATAATTTAAATTTTAGTTTATTTACGCGGTGATGATGTTGGTTCACTCGCAAATATTTTTGAAAAAATTAAGTGTTTTCGAACGAAAGTGTACCATAAGTGCTTCTGAACGTGTTACGCAGTTGGGTGTGGTGAAATTCGTGCATTCCCGTTTGATTTTGGAAATCCGTATCACAAAATTGCCCACCGATTCCTTTTTTTGCCGTTCGACGACGACGGGTGACGTTTATTGGATCCGTTTCTTTGCACGAGTGTTTTTTTGTAACTAGCGTAAGTGTGCCTGCGATTTGCATTGAGTGTCGGAGATTGTGAGTTAGCTGAAGGATGTCTCGCTGGATATGCTGGATATGTGGTAGCTGGTGGCCGGTAAGTTACAAATTCTCTGTTGTCGTTGTCGTAGGTGCCGTCGTAGTCGCTGTCGTAATCGCCGTCGTAGTCGTAAGCAGTACCGTTAGTATATTTAAAATTAAACATCAACCACTGAAAATATGAATTATCGCGTATTTCTGTTGTTCATTACATTCCAAGTGAAATTCGAGAACGTAATTTCATTTGATTAGCTTGTTTAACCAGGTCTTAAACAATCGTCACGTCGGTCATAGCTTGTTATGATTGTCTGAACCATGCGTAAAGAGAAAATCGAAACATTGAACGTCGCGTGAAAGTGGATCTTAATGAAGGCCTAAGTACTCTTTCGTAGCTTTTAGTTTTAGGATTTCAAAGATCGTCGGTTGCAGTGGCTTGCTTACTGAGGAGAAAAACGCGGTCCTTCAAGATCCATTCATATTAAAAATATCAAAATATCGCTTGTTTATCGTGTATTTTGCAATACTTTTCGTTGTCATCGGTGCCGGGTTTGAATAGTTATAATAACTTGAGTAACGCTATAATGTGATATGAGAGGCTCGGTGGCCTTAGAGCAACCGTTTTTGCTTACTGAGCAGAACATCATGAGTCTAATCTCAAGCCCATCCACATTCAAGATTCATCAATGAAAAAGGAGCTCGTCTGCCTAGTGGCAAACGTTTTTACTTACTGAGCAGAAGACCGTGGGTTCAATCCCAAGCTCCTTCGCGTTATACGATCGTTAGGACATCAATTCAGCTTATCGTTTACCAAAACGAACCCTGATGCTAACCCAACCCTCTTACCCACCCTAGCAGCACACATGTCACTGAACAATCGTGGTTACTTGTGTGCCACTTATTCCAGTCACAATAAAGTTGCAGCAGCTTATTTCGATCGAAGTGTGCTGCTTGGGCAACATCCCTGTGATTCCTCGTGGAAGTGCAGAGGACTCCTCGGCTTCCATCAAAGCGAGTGTCACGTCAACACATTCCTACCCATTCCTTTCTTGACCTGCGCGGCTGGCGCTGGTATTGCCTAATTCGAGATCACCAGTTTTTACACATTGAGGATGATTACTAGTCCCAAGCATCGTCTATTGGTTCTCTGTGTAATTACAGCTGGTCTGGCAATAACAGAGTAGCAACCGTGGGCGGTAAATCATGCTCATGCTCATGCTCAAGCATGCAGTTGAATAAAATGGCCAAGAAGTCGTTTCTTCAATAGACGATTGTTTGTTGCGAGCTATCCATACAAAATAATCAAGGTACATAATTTGTCAATTCACATAAAGAAATTCATTAGATAACTTCAAAGACAGTTTTAGATGGTTTTAGCACAGACAAACAGACATAACACTCGCAAGTTGTTCATCGAACAAGCATTTAACGGACAATTAAAAAGTATCCTAGTTGGTAGTAACGCCACCTGTGGCGCGCATAGTCAATTCCCTTGCGTTTGACGTACACACTACCGACATCTGTTCAGCGTAGTGCCCACCACAGTGTACTCAACAGATGGCGGTAATGTTTTAGCGACGATGTTTTACAGTGAGAAATATTCAATGTGTTATGTCTGTTTGTCTGTGGTTTTAGCATGTAAAATGCAATGTCTCATATATTCTGTATGTGTAGTTGCACGTTTAATGTGTTTGGGCACCGAATTGAAAACATTTATTCCTTTAAAATGCAATGAATTTTGGGAAGCACAGGTGTGTGTGTGTGTGTATGTGTGTGTGTTTTTTTTTCTTTTTTTTTATAGTAAGGTTTAGGAAAGCTTCAAGAAGCCTGGCCTGTAGTGAAGTTGGCACGGTGTGGTATCCACTAGTTGCCTAGTGCAGCTCCACTAAAACCCATTCCTTACTCTCTCCTCCGCCTGGATCCCCCGGGACCACTGTGAAGCGACTACTTCGGGGGGTGGCTGTGCTCATGCACTTGTCGTACTCTCAGCGCTAACTGCCGTTGCTAGATCGCATAATCTGCGTGACTGCCCTGCTGACGTGGAGTGCCCTCCTCTCGACACATTTCAACGACGACATTCTCCACGTTAAGGACGGGCATCTCCATGCGCACTGCCTCGTCCATCTACCGTTCTCCGTCGTGTTCCACTCCTGTTGCCACTTAGCCAATGATTCCACTCTCACAACTTTCCGTACTCTTCCGGCTTCTCTCCACCTGTAGCACTCGGTGACTTCTGCCAAGGTGATGTCGATAGGGATCATTCCGGTGATAACGCATACTGCTTCGAGATGGTTCTGTACGCACTCACGAATCGCATGGCCATTAACCGGAACGTACTGCTCAGTTTCCTTTGGTTCTGCTTCGTTTCCAGTGCTGCAACCCAGGCTGGACCTCCATACCTCAGTATCGATGAGGGCACACTGGCCAGAAGACGCCACTTGCTACTGCTGGGACCAGCGTTGTTCGGCATGATTTTAGCTATCGCGTTGATGGCCTTCGAGGCCTTCTCACAGACATATTAGACGTGGCTGTTGAAGTTTAGCCGGTCATCGATCATCACTCCCAGGTATATTAACACACGCTTCGAGGCTAAGGCGTGCTCCCCGACAGTGATTTCTGCCCACTGTACCGCTTTACAGTTATTGACCAATAACACTTCCGTTTTGTGGTGGGCTATCTGCAGCTTCGCTCCCATGTCGATCGCCTCGGTTGACAACACTTCCATCTCTTCCAGCGTCTCGCCTGTTACCGTAAAGACAACGTCGTCCGCAAAGCCAACGATCTCAATTCCTTTGGGCAGCTTCAGCGTTAGCACGCCGTTGTACATTCCGTTCCAGAGCGTTGGACCAAGGATGGAGCCTTGTGGAACTCCCGCTATGATCCTAATCGATATCTGGCCGATGTCTGTCTCGTAGACCAGAACCCGGTTCAGGAAATAACTCCTGAAGGATCCTGCACAGGTAAAATGAGGGGTTCGTGGATTTTCCTATGTTTCGAAAGGTGCATTGATTAGCTTGGGACCGAAGAGAGTACCAGAGCTGAGCCAAAAAGTTGGGCACGATTCTTCCGGACCTTCTGGTCTTAGAGTTACCTCTATGGTTGAACCATAGAGGTAACTCTAAGACTAGAAGGTCCAGATATAATGTGCTCAACTTTTTGGCTCAGCTCTGGTACTCTCTTCGGTCCCAAGCTAATCGATTCACCCCTCGAGACATAGGAAAATCCACTAACCCCTCATTTTATCTGTCAAACTTTCATAGCGAATCAAAACAAACATTGCGTAGTACTAGAATTTCGACTAGAATGTGATACGTTAATCGTTTGCTTGGGACCAATAGGCTAGTCAAGTAGTGAGCCAATTTGAAATCGTTAATTTCGTATTGATTGTTGGTTGAACTTAAGTTTGTCTTAAGTTGTTGTTAAGTCTGCTCATTTGCTAATCACTTTGCGCACAGTTGACAAAACATAGTTCTTTTTGAAGCAGTAGATAGAGTAGAGTTCAAGCACAAACTAAATAACAGACGACTAACTGGCGAAGAAATCAATTAAAATAATGTGGTTCGCTGTAATAGAATTTTCTTAGAAGCTTGTGAACCGGTGGAAACTAACGATTTTAAATTGGCTCACTACTTGACTAGCCTATTGCTCCCAAGCAAATCGAATAACGTACCCCATTTAAGTCGAAATTATAGTACTACACTATGTTTGTTTTGATTCACTATGAAAGTTTGACAGATAAAATGAGGGGTTCGTGAATTTTCCTATGTTTCGAGGGGTGCATCGATTAGCTTGGGACCGAAGAGAGTACCAGAGCTGAGCCAAAAATTTGAGCACGTTTCTTCTGGACCTTCTGGTCTTAGAGTTACCTCCATGGTGATAGACAATTCAATCCGCCACTTACAGCGGAACTTTTCAAAAAAGGACTCAGTACTCCACTTACAATTGAACAGCCACCGCGTAAACTAAGATGCACGCGTAATACAACGTGTGCCTACAGACGAGTGCATGGATGGATTTGATAATTGTCAACCCCCTATTTAGTAACGAAACATGTCCAAACGAATTTAAGTAGTTTATACACCTCATTTACGATAAATTTTCAAGTATATAAGATGTAGGGTGAATAATCTCGAAAGGACTGTCTAGGTAGTTGTTGAACATTTGTTGAGTCTTTATTGTTGCAACAAAATTAATAAGCTACCCAAAGACGAATAGTAAAATAGAATGTATGTAATGGCTTAAAACTAACTCTATAAAAGCCATGTCAAGTGACACAAAATATATGACCACTTTGCTTGACCTTGGTAGTTTGGCGATTACAACTTCAGAGAACGCATAATAACGTTGAGATTGTCCTGCAGTTGTCTTAGTTCTGCCAGCACATCTGGATCTATCTTCCGCACCAGTGTGGGATCAACGGAGTCCATTTCGGTGGGTCGTATCGCGAGCATACCATTTTTGATGGGTATGTTAACGTTGGCTGTAGCTTCCAGGATGCTGTAGGGAAAAGAACAGACGTTAACTCTGAAATGGTGCATTTATTGCGGGAAGCAAATACTTGGATGTGATAACGGGACTTCCTGTTATAGAATACACATGTTCACCTAAACGAGCATGACGAATAAGAGCCAATGGAGCATTGGGTTGTACTTTTGGTGTAATTTTTCCGTAGATTCGATCAACGCTGATTGCTTGACGAGGATTCGGCATCGGTGTCTTAATTTTGGATCTAAAATGTTAACGATTAATAAATATGTTTGGTTCAATTCCATGTGAAATCGATCTATTAATTACCTTGAAGTACGATCTTTTCCGACAATGCTGCTACCCAAAGTTTTCCCCAAAATGGATCTGTCTACCGTTGTTGTACTATGGAAGAGAGAGGTTATGGTGGAAGTATTGATCGCTCCGGAGGATTTGCTACGACGTCGATATTTGGCAGACATCAGTGGACCCATACGTTTCGATGTGGACATTGTCGAAAGACGATCATTTTCGCTTTCTTCTGTAAGGTAACCTGCAGGATTATGGCCATGTTCGGAAAGGGACAAACCCAACCACCGTCATTGCATTATTTACACAGAATAAAGAAATAGAGAAAGATTGATTCGCAGATACCAAGTTAGAAAAGCAAAAATTCCGTTAGATTGTTCAGTAAATAAGGCACTAATTATTTCCAAGCATCCCGAAAAAATATACCCTAGTAATAAAGTTTACTCACCGTCATCCTTCGACTTTTTACGTACGGACTTTTCCAGCATGATACTCAAATTTGCTAAAGCTGCGGTGCGGTCACCGTAGAAAGATGCATCGATCTTTTCTGCTTCTTCATTCTGAAACAATAATTGATTTAGTTTTTTTTTTGCTGTTTATCATTCTTTTGTACCTACATATTCTCTTATCTGATTAATCGTCATAGACAGGAACTTTTTCGGAATTCTTGTCTTGAGGCCATCAACCAATCGTTGAACACGATCCATTTCATCTCGGAATTTCAGCTCTAGGTTTGCAAGCTCACAATCGACTGAAAACAAAAATAAGACCACTTTATATAGTTTTACTGAAGTTTTACAAACTGGACTCACCATTTACTTCGAAGTCACGCATTTTGTTTTCGATGCGAGTTCTTTCGTCCGCAGATCCCCGTTTTTGACTGACTAGGCGGCGTGCTTTGGTGCGCGTCATTTTGGTAAACCGTTGTTTGATGCTTCACAAAGATTTTAATCAGAATATTTTGTATAAAATAAGATTAATTCACTTGAAAATCACTAGCTATAGCATCTGTACCACAAAAGGGCGGGAAGCTGTTCCGGAAAGTCCGTTGAATGCGAATTGAATGACGAATGAGATGTGCAGAGGAAATTCAAAAACAGGGTTAGCGGAATTTGTTTTGACTTACGGCTGTGTACGTATGTTTATTCTGTGCGGTTTGTGTATTGATGTTGGTTACCAAAAAAATTAGTCTGGTCCGAGCATTTCTGGAGCAAAGGGTAAAATCTCGCGTAATATTTGAAAAGGGCCTATCAGCTTTTGTAAGCAACATTATTAATGAAAATGAGGATTAGTAATTTCCTACACGGATAGAAATCTCCTTATACCTTTTGGCAAATTTCTATTGCTGAATATTCATAAAAAGTAAGTCAACACCTTGACACCTTGCAAAAAGTTAATGAAGATCATGTCAGGCATAACATTTGATAACGGCACAAAAGCATTTGTAAACAAACCTTCTTAGGCCCTTTACACGCGAACCAAAGTACGCCCACGCAAACCAACAACATCATCGCATAGGGGCAACCATCACCTTTCTGTAAGTGGTATTGGTTTGCGTGGGCGTACTTTAGTTCGCGTGTAAAGGGCCTTAGAATGTTTGTTTACAAATGCTTTTGTGCCGTTATCAAATGTTATGCCTGATGTGTCAAAGTTGGAACGGCGCCGGTGGTGTAGTGGTAAGCGTGATTACCTCTCACCCCAGCAGGCCTGGGTTCAATCCCAGTCGGCACCGCCGGGATATTCTGAGGCATAACATCTCTGATCACGCCTTCCTTTGGATGCGGGAAGTAAAGCCGTTGGTCCCCGGTTCATGAGTTGATGGGTCGATAGGTAGGGTCCAGGTGTGGGAGCTGCCTTCCTGGCACGTCGGTAGCATTGGTGCTCAGCACGGAAAACAACCCGCATAAACGCGAACCATAAATTGACCTTACCTAAAATGGTTAAAAATTGTTTATAATCCCTGCTAAACTTTAACTGAAATGGTTATGGAACTTTACATGAACGTTTAATGATAAAGTTTCAACCTTATGTATTATGGTTTTTTGGAACTGGACCTTACAAATAATGGGTTGTTAAGAACCATTACCATTCCAAATTCTTGTTTTCTCCATACATTTTCAGAAAGAGAACTATATAAGAACGTTTTTACTTATGATTTGAGAACATTAATGGTAATGGTTATGGTAGTCAGTAAGGTCCATTAATGGTTTTGTATTATCGCTCAACTTTACGTGGAATATATCGTGAATTGGTAATCAGTAAATTACAGGCAACCAATTCGCGATATATTCCACATAAAGTTGATCGATGTTACAAAACCATTCGTGGACCTTACTGACTACCATAACCATTACCATTAAAGTTCTCAAACCATAAGTTAAAAGGTTCTAATATAGTTCTCTTTCCGAAAATGTATGGAGAAAACAAGAATTTGGAATGGTAATGGTTCTTAACAACCCATCATTTGTAAGGTCCAGCTCCAAAAAAACCATAATACATAAGGTTGAAACTTTATCATTAAACGTTCATGTAAAGTTCCATAACCATTTCAGTTAAAGTTTAGCAGGGATTATAAACAATTTTTAACCATTTTAGGTAAGGTCAATTTATGGTTCACGTTTATGCGGGAAGATCGACGGAAAAAAACAAACCAAAGGAAAAAAAATCGTGTCAAATGAAATTTATAAGCGGTCACACACAGTGGTGGCACGAGTCCTGGAGTTTAACATTTTTTCCTTAACATTTGATACTTTTTGCGATAACCATTTTGACGACACACAAAAACAAACTGGCAAGCGGCAAAAATGTCATGACATTTCTAAACTGTTTTCTGCCAGCGACAGAACATTTTCGCACAAAGAAGCAGACAAGACCGGCGACACGCGCGACATAAATTTATGTCGTGTAGAATTTTGCTGATTTCTGGCTAATTACTGCATTTATTTGATGTTTATTGCATGGAATTAAAAGATAAGAATGAAGACTAACCAGTCATAAGCATTGATGTTAAAATCGAGGTTAAAATTATGCGTGAATAAGGGAGTTGGTAATTTACTGTCACACGCAAGCCTGCAGCTAAAATTTCATTACAATAAACTGTTTGGAAAAAATCAGGCTGCAAGATTTTATTTATTCTCTATCTCCGCTGTTCGCTTGGAATGTAGTTATAAACGGCCGCCCGTGTGCTGGCTGTTTTGTTTCGCTCTGGACGATGGTTTTTCAAAAAATGTACTGTTGCCACCTCTGGTCACACATACCTTTTATGCATTCTTATAGGACCTACCCGACTAACCATTTCGTTAATTTTCTTTAATTTTCTATACATCGATCTTCAAAGCCATTCATAAGAAAAATCGATAGCGATCGTCACCATTTCATGAATAATTGTAAAGATGCTTAAAGTCTAATCTTTCTCAAAATATTGCTACCAATCGTTACCAATGTTAAAATATCGATTGTGTTGCCAGATCAAAATATCCATTTCTGTTGTAAAATCAAAATATAGATACACAACTGCTGATTTTATTTGTGATTTTTTATCTGCATAATTTATAGTTTCGATCCCATGCCATCTGGGGTGTACTGATTTCGTTGTTGGTTGCTAATCCTCGGGTCCACGGCTGCTGTTGATGAGTTTATCAACGACAGGCAAACACACTCTAGTATGTGGTGTATTGAAATTTCTGTAAATCTTTTCATACATGAATTCAATATTTCAGTGCCAACATTTCAAAGGGGCGTAATTGCTTTTGTAAACAATGGCTTTAGCCGTCGATTTCTCGCAAATAAAAGCCCACCCCTCCAAATTACCAATGCTAGCTGGGACAAGAAACATTCATCTACCTGCTGGTGTCATTCATTTTCATGAGTAGGCTTTCATTCGCGAGAAATCGAAGACGAAAGTCATTGTTTACAAATGCAATTACGCCCCTTTGAAATGTTGGCACTGATTTATTTGTCATAACCATCAACCAGTCAGCCATGTAGGTGTAATAGAGGTCAAAAAGGTATCAATTTTCCAATCCTATTTTGACATGTTGTCTCTTTATAAATTCAGCCTCTTTAGTAGCAATATTTTGTGAAAGATCTTTATAAACGATTCACGATTAGACTTTTAGCATAAGAGGTAACTCTAAGACCAGAAGGTCCCGAAATAACGTGCTCAACTTTTTGGCTCAGCTCTGGTACTCTCTTTGGTCCCAAGCTAATCGATTCACCCCTCTAAAATCCACTAACCCCTCATTTTATCTGTCAAACTTTCATAGCGAATCAAAACAAACATTGTGTAGTAGTAGAATTAAGACTAGAATGGGGTACGTTAATCGTTTGCTTGGGACCAATAGGCTAGTCAAGTAGTGAGCCAATTTAAAATCGTTAGTTTCGTATTGATTGTTGCTTTTAGCATCTTTACAATTATTCATGAAATGGTGACGATCGCTATCGATTTTTCTTATGAATGGCTTTGAAGATCGATGCATAGAAAATTAAAGAAAATTAACGAAATGGTTGGTCGGGATGTTTTTTAAGCACTCATGAAAGGTTTAATTTATTTTTTTTATTTAAATATTTAATATTTAAAAAAAATGGTACAGTTGATATCGGAATAATTTACTTCAGACGAACTCGGTGTGAACGTGCTTGAAGAAATGTTGCTGTATTCGTATCGCGCCGAAGGGAAACTAGTGCACTGGCGGATTAGTAATTTCCATTTTATTCCACTTCCTTCCCAAGTAACCATATGTACGTTATTTCGCCTTTTTGGTTGCTGGACAACGGCTATAACAGTGTTTGTAAGTTCTGATGAAGCCCGTATATAGCAAAAAAAAACGTACCTATGGTTACTTGGGTTATTTGCTTATCCTGACAGATACGCGTATTTCGTCTGCACATTGTAGACGAAATACGCATATCTGTCAGGATAAGCAAATAAGGTAGCGGAATTAAATGGAAATTAATAATCCTCCTCTCTCGTTATGCAAAAATAAAATTAATAAAAATATATAAGCTTCCTGGATTCACGAAAAAAAATATAACAATATTGCTGATCGCATCTGCAACGGGACTGTCCCAAAAATGCAAAAAGTGTGATAGAAGTGCACTTTTCCGTCAAATCGTTTTGAGTCTTGGGAGCACTTATTGCTTGCATCATAAGGAATAAATGACACCAAGACGATTAGATGTAAACTTGCAATTTTATCACACTTTTTAATAAGTAAAAAAGGCCTAGGGGAAGTACAACTTGATCTGCAGTAATATTTGGTGTAAAAATTGCTCAAATTGGTAATTAGTATAATTTTTAGTATAAATATTAATGATATTAACTGTCAAGCGGACAGCTTCAAATTAAAAAAAAATAACAGTGTAACTTTAACGCATACACTCAATGACGTTTGACCGTTGTTGTTTATGTTTACTGCAGCTTTCATTTTTGCCTAGATTTTCGTTTTCGATAACTCTGATTGATTTCGATTTCGACTTTTCATGATAAAAACAGTACTGGATGTTCCCCAAGCAGCAAATTTTGGCAGCTGCAAGCTCATGGCAAATCGAGTGTAATACGACCACGGAACCATCACTCTGGGACTCCGTTTACAGGGAAGGCGTAGTCAGTCGATTCCCGTTCCATCGGAGGACAGCACATTGATTCGCAGACGATGAAGGATTCGTGGAAATTAATGACTATTTTCTGGGACAGAAGTGCGACCAATTATTTGCACTGAGATCAGCTAACAAATAATGCCGATTTTTTTAGAACAAGGAGAGGATTTTGGTGGCGGTGGCCAGCAAGATCATCAAAGAATGACTTGCATCTGGTGTGAAATCCATTTTTTACTAAACGAATGTCAAATGTACACTTCAAACCAAAAATAGTCAAAAACAAAAAAACAACTGTCAGACTAAGTATAAGATTCGCAAATATCACACATATTAAAATATTTAATATTTCCACCATCGATATTGATGCTGATACTTGGACCTGTCCTTCCCCTAGGAAAACGCGCTTATTAGTCCAATTTGGTGTGAAATGCGCAATATTTAAATGGTAAACATTTTTTCCGAAGGTTTGGCAAAATTTGACGTTTGTGGAAAGTTTTGCTGTTTGATTCTCGGCACCTTTTTTGCCGGGCTTGGCGATAAAATCTATATGTGTATATGCGGTTGACAGGGATACACGAAACGAAAATTATTTATTTTATTCATGCGTTTCACTTATACATTTTTGCCAAAACATCATCCTTATACATTCCATAAGACAAACCATATAAGGCATTTTACGAACCGTTTCGAGTCAGCTGTTTTTTTTTCTGTTTACCTATTTTGACGTTTACGAGCGGATCGATTTGTTGACACACAACGACCAAAATCAAAACAAAAACATCAGACATAAACAATAACAATGCCTCGAGCGCGTTCGAGTGGCCCGCCAGGAACTGTCATCAAGACGTCACGTAAAATAGCTTATAGGTCCTACACTGTACCAAACCACCGTCCTCTTTTCGAATGAAACCTCAGACCATTCAAATCGAAACATCGAAATCGCCGAGCATTGGTAAAGCGTGGAAACCGTAAATTGTCTATTTCGTGGTGGAGAAAGTTTCTTCTACAAGTAATTTTTGTATCCATGATGAATGGCTGATCATGTCTATTCAATATGGAAATGTAAACAATCGAATTAATAATCTAATCTAAAGCATTTGCAAGTCATCCTATCCTTAAATTGTTGTTCTCTGAGCCCTGTATGTTTTACAGCCCATATTCAAATAAATATAATCCTTTATTTGGAGGACAGTCATATGGATTCTCATCAGTTGATGATGAATTCAACCATAAGGAAATCATCCGAAATTCGACAGCACATTGTTAAAGGGCTCGAGCAATACAATAATCAGCTGAAGTATTGCGGTTGTTTTCGTTCAGTGTATAAGAATGCATAAACATTTGAAAAGGGCCTATCCTCGTTGATCGATTCTCTTCATCGACTTTCTCTTTGGTTTACCACGGCAACATAAACGAATTTGTCGCTAAGCTCTCAGCACAGTTCGACAGAAGATGATGAAACAACACACTGAATGGGAAATTCATTTGCAGTCGGGTTATTCGCGAAAGCGAAATTTTTTTCTCGTGTTGCGAGAGTCAAATGAAATTTTCATTTGACACATGGTCTTCATTAACTTTTTTTGCAAGGCGTCTGTTTAGTACTTGACTTTTACATGTTATGAATAATCAGCAATATAAATTGGCCAAAAGATACAAGGGGATTTCTATCCGTGTAGAGTCCTCCTGGGTTCGAACGAAAACAAGAATATGGGTGATCAATAGACTGATGCAAAATTTGACTTTTTCGCTCCACAGTGCTTAAATTGTTTCAAATCGGGTCCTGATTAGCCTCCCAAAGTTACAACTCATTTGGTTAGAAACAGACTTCGCACAAGCCATTTGAAGTTTACATGTAAATTACTATGGGAAATCTCAACTTTTTGTTCATTGCCTTCTAGTCTTTTTCCATATTGAGCTGCGAAACAGTTCGATAGGCATTCTTATAGAAAATTTTCTCAGCTACAATTTTGCTCAAGATCGTTTCTATGTAAAACGAGACAGGGAAAAGTTATTAATTATTTAAGAGATTGGTAAACTTATGACATGATCATGCAGCTGCTCTGTAGACAACACTGTATTTTGCAGTGTGACATAGTAGCCATGATTTTTGTGTCCTATTCAACGCCCCAGAAACACCAATGTTGCCTGCTGAGCAGTTGATTGAGCATGATCATAAGACATCACCGCATTGAACCATTGATAACTTTCGATCCTTACATTTAATCAAAAAGTGGTCTTGAGCAAAAGTGGAGCTGGGAAAATTTTCTACAAGTACAGTTAAAAGCTTTTGTTGCAGACCGATATGGTGAATTATTAGATAGACATGAACAAAAATCTTGGTTTTACCATAGTAATTCCCATACAAACTTCAAATGGTTTGTGCCATCTCAGTTTCTCACCAAATGGGTTCAAATATTGAGAGGTTAGTCAGGATCCGATTTGGAATCGTTTAAGTATTGTGGAGCGAAAATTTCAAATTTTGCATCACTCTAGTGATCAACTTTCGAAAGTTTTGCATATAATTAACATAAAACTGTTCTTTTTAGTAAATATCATGTGTATTAAACGTATTCTTAATTCTATATCCTGTTGCACTGGTTGTTGTTAAGTTGATTGTTTTGAATTTGTTTGCTCCATAATGCTCTATAAAAATTGCTGCTCCTGAATAAAGCTAAAGTTGGCTATTGGTTTATTTAAAACATTAAGTTTGATCCTTACATTTATTTTCCTCCAACAACCGATAACTTCGAAAAGGACATCATGTTTCCAATAGACGTCTTTTTGTTGTAAGCACTCCTGTAGTTCGGCCATTAAGCTTGTGAGGACTGCTGAATCCGATTTTACACTCTTCAATTTATTTTGGGTATTGAAAATTAGGATTCATATATTGATATTAATCAAACTTACGCTCACAAACATTAAAAATCCCAATCTCCTAGAAACAAAAATCGCATATTTTCATCTGCCGCCATTTTGAACTAACAAATACGCAGACAGTTTTCACATCATGAGGTCACTTAAAATTTACGTGAACTTCACTTAACATTTATCTGTATAGCACTTGAACTCCATCAGTCAATCAAGTGGAATTCATTACCATGCCATTGATATTTATGTGCAGCATGTAATTCTTATTGGATTTATATTTTTGAAAGGTTACCTGATTTTTCAGGTGAAATTTACGTTTCTCGTTAGTTCAGTGTAAGGAAACAGTTTCGTCCTCTCGAAATGTCGGTGTTGAAATTGCTACCAAAATTAGTTACCAACCCTTGATTTTTATTGTTCTGTTTGACAACACGCTGCTGTCAAAACAACTGGCATCCGTTTGACAGTTCCTCTTTGTTCTGCTTCTCTGGTCTCGGTGGTTGTGTTATGTTTTTCTGGTTTGTGTGCGAGAATCGCCTTGAGCTAAAGATGCTGACGAGATTACCACGACGGGTTGCTGTTACGACGACGACGGACGGACGGACGGAACAACACATTTCGGAGCAGCGTAGCGTGTAGAAGAATCGCAGTAACCTTCGCGGAGTTGGGCGTGCTCAAGTTTCAGGTTTTTCTGGTCACATTTTTTCGAGTATTTCCGGACCGGAAGTGGTGTACGATGCGTTAGATGTCGAGTTCAAGTGTTTATCTTTGTGGGAATGTTTTGATTTCGCACGGAGTCACGGATTTTTTCATCGAAAGAGAGACAGCGATTAAGCAACCTTTTTTCACGGAGGAAGTTGTTGGAAGGGGAAAACAAAGAAGAAAAAGAAGGTTCAGCACGGTGACGACGGAATTTTTTCGCGTTGATAGTGGTTCGAGCAAGGGACTACGTAATGAACGAATTGGCTGTAAAACGAGAACAAGAGCTAGATTTGGGTGAGTTTCACACGACCGAACCCGTTGGAGGTGACGAAAATGGTGGATCCGATCAGGAGATTGTTGTCGGAATCGACGAGGACCATATTAATTTTCTAACCAGTATGGCGTCCGGCGATGATGATTCACTGGACGGTCCACCGGAAGTAGATGGCGCAGGAGGGGGAGTAATTGTGAAACAAGAACACGGGCAAGATGAAGAAGAAGATGTTATGGCTGCAGCGGAATCGATTCTATCGAGAACGGCGGAACGTACGCAGCAGCAGATTTATCACTGCGAGTATTGTAATAAGACCTTCACTTGGCTGAAATCCCTTACGGTGCATCTTCGCACGCACACCAACGTAAAACCGTACAAGTGCGAGCTCTGCGACAGGTCGTTTGTGCGTTCCGATTATCTCAAATACCACATTATAAAATCCCATGAAACAAACGAACAGGTTTTTACCTGCACTGCCTGTTCCGGGGTATTTGCCACTAATCGAGGTCTGCTGAGACACATTCGCACCGAACACTACGGCAATGCTGATCGGAAAGAAAATTACTCCACTAATCCGGACTATCCCTCGGAAAACGAATCCCACGGTGAAGTTGATGAGAATGGGAAATTTGCGTGCACCTATTGTGATGAATGTTACGATTCTCGTGATCCTCTGGTTCAGCACATAAAGCGTCATTTGGGAGAAAAGCCATTCAGGTGTGACCTCTGCCCAAAATCGTTCATTCGGCAGGATTTCCTTCAATGTCATCGGTCCAATCATCTGAAAACCTTGGATTTTAAGCAGAAGAGTTTCCCATCGGAAGCCTCCAAGCGGCCACGTATTGGCTTGAAGAAGATGGAAGATCTAGTACAGTCCAATTCGGTTTCGCGGGCTGAATCAAGCGAAGATGAAGGAGGTGATGGAGGTGCCAGTTCGTCGGAGAGTGAGGAAGAGCAACAGAACCTGGGCGAAGAGACTGAGGAACAGAAAAGTATGATAGCAGCCTTGCTAACCGAGGTATCCAAGACAGATGGCGGCAGGTTGCAGTGTCCACGGTGCGAGAAAACTTTCTCGAAGGAAACGTCCTTGAGGGTACACCTACGGTCGCATACAGGTATGTGGGTGTATTTGATGATTAGATTTGATAAGATTTAAGATCACTGGAATCCATCACACATCGGGTATCAATCGTAACGAATCTCTACAAATCAAGCCAGTCGGGCGATTTCTTGCTGTGTGGCAGTTTGGTTGTCGTTTGCAATGAAGAATTGACCTAGTAAAGCCGGTTTCTAGTCATAATACAAACATAACATGTTTACCTTTTTGGTAGTTTTGAGGCTGCAACTCGGTGGCTACATTTTTTAATCCGAATGTGCTCGGTAGGATGCAATGTTTATAATTCGTAAAATAGGTTCCTATAACAAATGCCATGAGTGTAGAAATTTCCACGCAAGTTCTTATTACCGCTCACTGGTGCCAAAAGCTGTAATCTTTCACATTGTAACCAGCAAATATGGCCTGCGTTCCAGTTTTAGCTTTCTCCAGAAGTAAATAAAATAATATTAAGCAATATTGAATGGAGAACCAGTAGTTCTGAGCACCAGTGAGTGGTAAATGATATTTTTGTGGTATATTTTAAATAACTTGAACGACGAATAAAGTAAATGTGGCCCTCTCCTATAGTCACTATATTCATAGTTTGGCGGATAGAGAATCCGACAAACTGGCAATTTTGATTTTTGGAATAAAAATTTTTTACAGAACGTTTTCGTTTTACGCAACGACATATTCAGGGCCAACATTTCAAAGGGGCGTAATTGCATTTGTAAACAATGGCTTTAGTCGTCGATTTCACGCGAATAAAAGTTCACTCATAAAAAATAACGACACTACTAGGTAGAGGAATGTTATTTTGAAGGGGTGAGCTTTAAGATGCGAGAAATCGACAGCTAAAGCCATTGTTTACAAAAGCAATTACACCCCTTTGAAATGTTGGCACTGATATTTTTTCATCAATCCTGATGAATGTGGGAGGCTTAGTGAAATGCCTGTATAAAGAGAGATAGATTAGTAATTTCCATTTAGCTTCAATATCTTATTTGCTTATCCTCGACAGATTCGCGTATTTCATCTACAATACTCGACTGAAGAAAACATCGTATTTTACTGAACCTATATTAACGATATTAACATAGGTACATTTTCACTTAGAAGCTAGGTAAACTTAAACCTAATCTGTAGAAACAGGTACTGCTTACTTGTTGATGTGATCTAGAACCTAGGTAGTAACATGAAAAGCCATGTGTTTCCTTGATCCCTGTTGAGTAAAGTTAAATTCCATTGTTTGTTGATCTCGGGGCTCTCTGCAACATCCAATTTATATGGTGTACATACGGTTTGTAAAATCGTGATGTCCTCGGTCGATAGTTGGTGGTCCTCTGTGAAAATGTGTTCTGCAACCTTTGATTTGAAATATTATGTTAGGCCATTTTCCTCTTGCTTTTTTCCTCCACTATATGTTTTTTTTTAAATCTAGTTGCTAAAGTTCTCTTGGTTTGTCCTACATATACTATGTTACAATTATTACAGCTTATTTGATATACACCTGCTTTACCTAAAACATTAACTGGGTCTTTAGTGGATCCTAACAATTATTTTAACTGGTTATGTCTACTAGTGAAAACTAAATCTAATCCAATTTTTTTTTTAACTGTGGTCTTGTCTTAGCTTACAAGTAATATCTTGATCAAATGGAACGGACACTCGTTTCAAGGGTTCAGGTGCTGCGTTGAGGCAACCGGTGAACACTCGTGTTTATTTCAGTTACCATGGAGACGTAATTTGTGATTAGCCCCGGTCCCTTTCAAATTGTATCATTATTTAAAGCCTGGTACGCAGCTGAAAAGTAATGACGTTTTTATGTGCTACCGGATAGGACACGGAATGCAAAAGAAATTACTTTTCCTCAGCATTTCTTGACCCAGTACGCAGTTCAAAAGAAATCGGTAAAGGAAAGATCGATTACATTAGTATCGTGATCGACATGAAGGTGGCGCATTCTGAATGCAATTTCACTTTCCTTGCGGAATAATGGTCTGATCAATTATTCCGTTAGGTAATGTTGGCGTTTATTGCAAAACTGATGTTTTGGATGCATTTAAACAACATAAACACTAATAAGTGTTGATTTTACAATTTGACGACATCGCCCTATAATCTCAAAATTTAGCAGACTATAGCTGTCAAATTTTCTTTTGGGAAAAATCCTCAAAAATTACTTTTCCGTTTTCTTTTCAGCTGCGTACCAGGCTTTATGAACGGCCTTATATTTGAAATGACGTTTCACATTCATCTAGTGATGTCCGATTTTCATTCGAATAATCGTTTAATCGATTAACGAACCGAAAAGTAAACTATTTATAATCGGTTAGATCATGCCGATATAAACATTAACATCTCCATAGGATCATCACCGATCGTTTCAAACATGTGCTGCACTCTCATTGGTGGAAAAATGGCTGCACAGCGAACAAAAAATAATCGATTAGTTGTTAATCGAGTAATTAAAAAATGGGACATCTCTGATTTTGATGTGATTGTTTTGATAAAAATGAGCGCAAAATTTCATCTCTTCCGAGGGGGCAGCAAAACCACAAAATTACCTTGAATACGGGGGGTTCTCATTGGATGAAAGGGACCGTGAAAGAAGACACTAAAATAGAAAGTTTTTCTTCCGACAGTTTCATCTTAGTATTCATCTTTGGTTGAGGGTTGTAAATGATCTCCTTTGTAGAATGTTCGCTTTTTTATCGAGATTGCCTGGATTGTGGTCTCCTTGTATCCGTTGAGTCTCGCTGTTTCGAAGATGTACTGTAATTCCTTAACCTTTCCTGTTTCGCTGAGTGGAAGAGTCTGCGTCCGATGAATCATGTGATGGCAGGCGGCCATTTTTTTTTGCTGGAATAAATGGTTGGAAGTATAAGGGATAACTATTTTGGTGCTTGTTGGTTTCCTGTAAACTGTTGGCTTCCATGGAGATGAAGCAAATTGAAGCATTTTCAACAAGTTTGTAAAAAAAAGTTGATTGAAGTAATAGCACCAGCCCAGTGACAGGCGCGTAGGGAACATGTTATACCGTGACAGCGGGCCCAGCACAGCAAAATAAACGATTTGAGCCCGGGACATGCTGTCTACTGACAAACGCTGCTGTTGGTATAGGCCTTGTCACTGGCCTGAATAGCACCGACAAACCGACATGAATGATCATACAAATTACAAAGAAATTTCTGATCAAAGCACAAAACTGACATCTGCCGCCGTGTTCGCGGAAAATATTTATCCTAGCCACGAACACGCGTACAAAATTTACGAGTTGGTGCGTGTCTAATCTATTATGGACAAATTATTTTAATCTAGTTTCATGTCGGTTTGTCGGTGGTACATAATAGGTAATATGCCCAACCGAACGGTGGCCTCTCTCGCCCCGTGTGGTCTTCTTGCCCTCAATCCCCCCTGCATAATATTATACGGACAAAGAGGTGAAAATGCATGAAAAAAATATAGGAAATGATAGGGAAAGAATGATGCTTGCAAAATTATTGACCACCATGACTTCTCTCGATGATTTCTAGAGAGTCAAGCCTCGCCCATGCAAATCAACACTACCATCGGGAAAACTTCCTTTACATGATGGTTATGTTGGTTTGAGTGCCATAGAGGTAACTCTAAACTGGACCCTACACGTTTGCTTTTATTGACAATAATCGTATTGTCAATATATTCTATATTGACGTCAATACATCGGTATCGACAATAATTCTGTATTCACATCATCAATATTATTGTCAATATTTCCCCTACGTGTGGGGTTCGCTTAAGACTAGTAGGTCCCGAAGAAACGTGCTCAACTTTTTGGCTCAGCTCTGGTACTATCTTCGGTCCCAAGCTAATCGATGCACCCCTCGAAACATAGGAAAATCCACGAACCCCTCATTTTATCTGTCAAACTTTAATAGCGAATCAAAACAAACATTGTGTAGTAGTAGAATTTTGACTAGAATGGGGTACGTTGATCGATTTGCTTGGGACCAATAGGCTAGTCAAGTAGTGAGCCAATTTAAAATCGTTAGTTTCCACCGGTTGGCAATACCCTGTTCTCATTACGCTCTATATCAAGTGATATAGAGTGATTCGTGATATAGCAGCTATATCACATTCTAAATTACGTGATGTCCCATACAAACGATCTGTCAATCTATATCATGAATAGTTCTTAATATAGCTCATATCATGTTGTATACTCGGTAAAATCAACATCAACTTGAGACGAAGTTCTTGCGCAATCAATCAATCCGATTGTATTGGATCCATTCAACTGTCGCGAATTAAAAGAAGGTTTCACGGTGGTGATTGCCTCCGGAGGATTCCGTGGTGAAATTTGGTCTCGGTGTTGACTCGTTCATGTACCCGTCGAACAAATAAATGTAGCAAATCAAAGATTCTCTCCGGTACCCAACCAAAACGTCCCGTCACCAGAATGGACGCCGTTTTGTGTCGACTGCCCAGCTAGCGAAAATCGGTGAATAAGTGCATGTTGTTTCCGCCTCAGACGTTCGATTATACCATAGCGGTAACTCTAAGACTAGAAGGTCCCGAAATAACGTGCTCAACTTGTTTGGCTCAGCTCTGGTACTCTCTTCGGTCCCAAGCTAATCGATTCACCCCTCGAAACATAGGAAAATCCACTAACCCCTCATTTTATCTGTCAAACTTTCATAGCGAATCAAAACAAACATTGTGTAGTAGTAGAATTTCGACCAGAATTGAGTACATTAATCGATTTGCTTGGGACCAATAGGCTAGTCAAGTAGTGAGCTAATTTAAAATCGTTAGATTCCACCGGTTGGTATAACTGGCAGCTCGCCTACTAGACTAGTCAAGTAGTGAGCCAATTTAAAATCGTTAGTTTCGTAATGATTGTTGATGATACTAAAAAGATTCCTATTTAAAGAATGTCCATGTGGGTTTCTTTACCTTGCTCTGGCTGTCCTGTTGTAAAGGGTGATACGGTCAAAATTTGGTCAAGGGAAAACGCGTGTAAATCGGTGAAATCGT